GCTTTCCCCCCCCCCCCTTCTCCTCTCCTCTCCCTCTCTCCCTCTCTCTCATGCAGGCATAATCACTCCGCAGTCACTTCATTCACATAAGCGCGTGTCCTCCCCCCCGTCTCCTATCTTCACCCGGCTCTCCGGTTAGTGAGTGTGTGACAGAGTGCGGCGCTTCCGGAAGCGGGTCATGAGAGGAGGTAGAGAATGCCGCCGCCCCCCCTCTCCCCCCCGGATCTATCTGAGGAAGTGGCACTTTGATGGCGCCGACATGGCGCAGCCAGAGAGCCTCCTGCTGCCGCTCTGCCTCCCCTCGCTGGCAGGAAGTGGGCCAGAAGTCGTCGTCTGCTCACAGACTCGTCACGTCCCTCCATCCCGTTACTGACGACTATAAAAAGTCGCCGCTGTAGTTCCCAGTTTGACGAGGGCATTCGTGTGCTTTTAAAAAGTTTTCGCTTGACACCGATTCCTTTTCTCTCAGAAACTTTTCTGTTTTCCATTGTGATATTTAAAAAAATGTCCGTATCCCCGTGATTAAGTAGTTTGAGCCCTTTTAATACCGCAGAGCATGCAGTTGTGTTTCAGAAACGTGTCTTCTTCCCGTCGGGGAAGCTTATTGTGTCCCATTTACTTCTGCACAGTCTGAAAGCCGCCACTTTATAAATCCATCACACGGATCCTCACGGTTACAAGCGAAGTTCTGTTGTGCAGGTTTTAAGTAATTCATCTGTGGAATTAATTGAAATTGCAGAGAATCTGACCCCCTCTCTCCTACATCCCACAGTCCTATTTATATTTAATAAGGAAAGGTGAAAAAACAACTTTAACTCAACCGGCAAATTCAACTTACAACAATCACAATGAGAAACATCCATCAAAGAAAGACATTAGTTATGTGATTCATATATTCTGTAGAATAAACCATTAAATCAACCTTTCCTTGACTGATCATAACAAATATCTTTCTCCCACACAATCACTGAGAGTGCCCCTGACCCCCCCTTAGTGTGTGAACTCTTTCTATTATGAATCATACTCTTCTTCATTATTTAACCGCTAAATAGGACAATAACAACAAAGTTTGAAGTATTTTGGAAACGAACCGACAAAGCGGCGAAACAGAATAAAGCAGCTGTGAGATACGACGGAGCCTCGGTTGGTTGGAGCTCGGCCACTAAGCCGGATTACACTCAGGGGAGTTTCAAGAGCTTTTCCTGCATTTCACTGCGTCAAAGAGTAGGAATGCATGAAAAAATGCACGCCTTGAAAATATTCAAGAGAGAGATGTGAGGATTTAAAATGGCAGCAATGGCTCGATATTTGGGGAAATCTGGACTGAAAATCAGCCACAAATCTGATCACCGCTCATTTCTGGGTTCGAGGTCACCTGGAGTTCAGGCCTCTGACATCATCCGTCTGATCGAACCACCGCGTCGTCCCCGTACGGCGGCGCTGGCTCGTCTGAACCGGCCCGGGTGTCGCTTGGACCCAAATCATACGCCTCAGCTTGGAACCACGATGCCTTTTGGGTAAAAGCGATCTGAAGTACGGTGAAAGTGGATCACGCATTTTAACTTCGTGTCACATTGAAGAAAAGACATTTCCATCCGGTGGATTGTGTTTTGGATCCTCGCGCTGGAGGATCGTTGCTCCTCTTCTTCTCATGTGGTCTTTTCTTTTCGTACTTTTGGCCCTTTTGTGGCGCCCGACTCTCCACGGCCACCAAAGCCGTCTTTGAATAGCCGCCCTCCCCTGATCCGAGGCAGACTTGGCCGCCGCTCAACGGGCTCGTTTCGCCGGCCTTGGCGGCGACGCCGGCAGAGCCGAACGTACCTGCATTTCGTTTGGGGTGTTTGCGCCAACAGTCCAGGTCGGCGCGTGCGAGGGGAAAAGAGGGCACGTGCGCGTTGCCTCCTTTTTGCCGCGGGCTTTTGAGGGTCGGCAGACCGCGGCGGACACGTCCGCACCGGAGCCTCGCCGGTCCCTCCAGATCTGAGGTATCAGTCACCTACAGGCAGCGAGCTCTGAACGAACACGAGCTCGACCTTCGTTCACAAACACACAAACACACACATAAAATGAAACAGGTAATACAGAGAAATACAAACAAACACAACCGTTTTCCCACCGATGAACACAATTCAGGCCTGATGGGATTTGGGCGCAAAACAGCAGCTAAAAATGAATTTGACGCCACGGCGTCTGCAGAGTTGCGACACGGCTGAGCAAACAGAGAGAGCGGCGCTTCTCACTGCGGTGGATTATTGGTAAATATCAACCCGAGAAACGAGGCCCTGGAAATTTTTCGGTTTCACCTCCTCAGCATTCAACTTCCTCCCATCGGGGTGGCACGCAGAGGTCAGGTTAAACATGTATGTGGCTGCTCGAGAGCTGGTGGGATGGGGGGGGGCCCCACGCTGGCCTCCAGTTTACAAAGAGGTCGTGAAAATGTGAGACCCGGGCCGCGGCGAAGGACCCAAATGCAGCGATGAAAGTTAACCCTCACGCGTAGCTAAGAGACGGCTTATCGAGCAACAAAATGGCCACACGAGATGCAGGACGGGTTCCTGTGGTTTCGCTGCATGAAAAAGAAAAAATGAATAAAAAAGGTGTCGAGCGCAGGCCGTGATGCTTGATTGGAGTTTCTTTTAACAGAAAATATAACGATCTTATGTATGAAATGTATTAAATAGAGATTTCTTTTTGGATTCATTTCCCATGACCGTCCGTTTGGTAAAAGCTCACAGGAGCCTCAAATGAGGCACTGATCAAGAAATAAAAACTAAAGCACAACAGCTGATTGACGCTGAAAGTAATCAAAATAAAATATATAAAGGACCCGTAGAATTACAAAAGTCTTCTATAACACACACACTTGTGTGGAGTTTGTCAATTATATATTAATTGAAATAATTTTATTGAAACTTCGCATTTGAACTCTGTTTAATTTTGTTTGAATTAATACAATTTGATTCATTAATTGATTATATTGACTTTCACATTAATTCCATTTGCTGCTTGCAAGAAATGTTTCAGATGTTTTATTTTTATACTAAAACACTAGAAAACGTCATACAGCAATTTTGCAAAAAAAACAACAACTTATCTTTTGTCAATAAACAAATTTATCTAAAGTTAATTAAACATTTGTAAGTCACATTTTCCAACCTAATTCAGAATGAATGCATGATTATTTTTTTAGGTTCATTAGGTTATTTGATCATGAGTAAACCCCCCGGTTGGACCGGCCGGTGCACGAGGACGCACATGGAGGTCGTGGCGGACGCGGCTATACGGAGACGCTCAGTGGAAGAGAAACAAGACTTTGCAGCCTGCGCAGCCCGTGGGTTGAAGAACCCTCCTTCTCTTTCTCACAGACCAAGTTACCATCAATAAAACGAGGCGCTCGGAATCCAAACATTGAGAATTGTATTCCCAAAATAAACTTCTGCATTCACGCACACTGTCCCCGTCTACTCTCTCGTGTTACTCGTGTCCACGTCCTCTTTTGTCTTCCAGAAGCCGTCGAAGGAGAAGTAGTACAACAGAGGGTCCAGGCAGCAGTTCACGCTGGCGAGACAAATCAGCGGCGTTCGGAAACGGCTCCAGCCCTCTTTAAAGAAGACCGCCATCGACACGGGCAGGAAAAACACGGCAAACATCGCCAGGTTCATGGCGAAGATCAGCATGACGTTCACCTTGTTTTTGATCCCGGCAGAGCCCTTCGAGCGCGTGCGCAGGGTCAGAGACACCAGAGCGGTAGACACGATGTTGACGGCCAGCATGGTGAGCACCAGCACGGGCTGACAGTACGCCATCACCGACCCTTGAGGAGGCTGCTCCCGGAATTCGAAGCAGCTGGACCCGTTGTAGTCCTTGAGGAATGCGGAGAACTCTAGCCCCTCTTCCACGTTCATCGCCACCACGAAGAGCCAAACGACCACGGCGGCCCTGCAGGCGTTGGACGCCGTCCGGCGATGGCGGGACCTCAGAGGGTAGACCACCGCCAGCAGTCGGTCCACGCTGATGAAGGTGATGAAGATGGAGCTGGAGCGGATGTTGTTGCGGAACAGCATGGTGGTCCAGACGCACGCCATGTTGCCCAGAGGCCAGACCCCCGTGGTGTAGAAGTAGACCCTCATGCACAGGGTGACGACGAGCAACAGGTCCGACACGGCCAGGTTGACCATGAAGATGACGCAGGGGCACTTGAGGCTGTGGCGCCGCACCAGGATCCACAAGGACGCGGCGTTGAACGGCAGACCCAGGGCCACCACCGAGCCGAACAAGGCGGCGTACGCCGGGCTCCTCATGTCCCGCTCGGCGCCGCCGTCCTCCAGAGTGGCGTTTAGCATGTCGTTTTTTTCCCCCAACCCCCGCCGAGAAGCACCCGGGTGAAACGAGGGTTGAAGTAACTGCGACTGAGACCACAACCGACTTCTCTCCGATCACATCTGGGCCGACCAGCGTGAACCAGCGCTGTTGCCTCACGCAGAATCAGAGGAGAGTCTAGAAAACAGGAAGCACCTTGCAGAGGGTTCAAAGCACTGTGGCACTCAAGCGAAACAGAGACAGCGTGGGCGTTTGAAGCCACGGAAGAGACACTTTATCAAACTGCGGCCGCGTGTCACACCACGGTTTTGTGAGGTTTATCAACACATCACCTGAACTACGCGACTACGTCCTCTGGAAAACCCACCTGAGGTGGAAATCATGCTGATAAAACACTCCTTAAATGACTGGCTGAGCAGGGACGGGAGGGGGGGGGGAGGACACTCATGAGACTGTGTGCTTTTCACACGGCACCGTGTGCACCACGTTGGACATACCTGGTGCGCCAGCAGCGCGTCAATCACCTATTTATCCCGATTGCTCGGGTCTCTCTGGATTCCGTCAACTCACCCATCCACACGACATCCATGAATGCAGACGGAGGCTTGAATCGGTAACCGTGTCTGCAGGATGAAAAGCAGTACGTCCCGCCGGCTGAGCCCACCGAATGATTCGAACAGAAGTCACAAAGAAACACGCGAGGCCTGAAGGACGAGAGACGCGCGCAATCAGCTTCGCAGGCAACTGTGAGGAGACGGAATTCTTTTTTTTTTTTTGCGGAGGATCTGAGGGTTGTGAAGATCCCGTCAGCATCCATCAGGCCGCTGACCTTCGCCCGAGGAGGCGTCGCTCCGCCTCCCAAAGGGGGCAAAGGGGGCGTACCAGCAAAGTGGAGTCGACAGCCGGCGCAAACTCGCAGACAAACTAACGCGCATTGAAATGGAGCTTTGGTTTATTGCCCTGTAAACAAATTAGATTTGGCCGCAAACAACTGACTCAAATGGAGATTTGTACGGACGTCCTGTTTCTAACCCCATGTGAAAGTGAACATTTAAATAGATGCTCTCGTTAGAAAACCATTTGCTGAATTCACATGTTTAACCACACGCCTCTTTGCTAAAGGGCAGACGCTGCTATATGTTACAAAGATAGCTCATCAACAAGTGAACAATTCCTCAATACAGGTTCTGGATTGTGGTCAGTGAGTGTTTCTGAAGTAGTGGAAGGCTGTGTTGTTGGTTATTTCCCCATCAGCTTCGTATGAATGATATCTTCCCCACATATGCCACTTCTGCTTTTTGTCAGGCCGTTCTGACTGTGCATGATTTCTTGAACTCGTAACTTCTCCTTTCATGCAACTTTTTTTCTCAAAACACAGTTTTCATCAACCTCAGATCCGAAGAATTTGTCAGAGAGAAATCGGAAGCAGCGTTGGCAGCGTATCTCAACTATTAGCATTTAAGAAATGTTATAAAAATTTTTTTTTAAAAACAGATCACACAAGTTTTGCATTGAAAAAGGAAGACGGGGTCGCACACACTTTTGCAGGTTGTACTTGTTGTGCAGTGCCGGTAGCTACCGACGAAGTCAGAAAGGAAATACGTGTTTGTGGTTGTGACCACTGATGTCAAATTAGATTAAGGAGTCTCCTAATAAACACTAACCTGGACGGTTTGTCACACAAAAGGGGCGACAACGTGTCCGTTTAGATGCATAGCCGAGGCTAAGGTGTCAGGAAGGTGCATGGCGGGGAAGCTAGGACTCAGACTAAGAAAAGGGACTTTAATCGTCAAAAGGTTTTCAAAAGCAAAAGGCCAAAGGGGCAAAAACGGAGACAGGAACCAGGACGTGGACGTGGACTTCCATAGATTGAACAATGATGCGACAAGTGACAACAGACACACATGGCTTAAATACACTAGGGAGGTGCAGGTGATTGGACACAGCTGGGAACAATCATGACAAGACAGACAATCACAGGGGAAGACAGGACAAGGCAGGAAGTGACATGACCCAGGGAGAACAGAGGAAGGAAACTACAAAATAAAACCAGACATGAACCCAAACAAAATCCACCAGAGTGTCCAGGAAACATTAGCGTTGCCCGCGTCTCCCTTTGTCCTGTTCGTCTTGTCTCAAGGAACCAGTGTGGAAAACTTTATCATGTTCTTGTTTGTTGAGGGTTGGGAAAGCCCTCGAGGGAGGCCTCACGGGAGGTTCTCGTCCCGGCCTGAAACGAAGAATCAGCTTGCTTAAATTCAAAAATCAAAGTATTTAATAACTAAACAATGTTTTAAGGATTACATATTAAGTGAAATACAAAACGAACAGTAAAATATTTTGCGAAATAGAGAATCCTCTGAGCAAGTCTAAAGCGACTTATCAAAGCGGCTGCAGGAGAATTCTAACAGTCCTTTCCCCGCTTTGGTCCTTTGAAAACTCTTGAGGTGTGTCTTCCTTGGTGCATTTGAATGTCATTGGCTTCTTCTCCAGAGTGTCCCCTCCTGGACTGTCCCCTTCACATTGTTAAGGTTTCGGAAGCTCTCGAGGGAGGCCTCACTCCTGGTTCTCGTCCCGGCCGGAAACGAGGACACGAATGAGTCAATTCGTTTAAATTCAAAAATCAAAAGTTATTTAATAACTGAACAACGTAATAGGGATTACAATTACAAAGTGAAATACTAAGCGAACAGTGGAATATTTCGCGAAATAGAGAATCCTCTGAGCAAGTCTGAAGTGACTTATCAACGCGGCTGCAGGAGAAGTTCTAACAGTCTTTTCCCCGCCATGGCCCTTTGAAACCTCTTGAGGTGTGTCTTCCTTGGTGCATTTGAATGTCATTGGCCTCTTCTCCAAATGGTCACCTCCTCCATTGTCCCCTTCACGTCGAGGTGTGAAGCTGCAGCTGTAACCTGAAACCTCTCTGTACTATCTGTCCCTCACACTCCAATGCACTCAATGTAGATACATTTGGCTTTATGCCTCAATGAGTGAACCCAACAAAGCATACATCGTTTAAGTCTTCATCTTATAACTAGTACACTTTCATTACAACAACCCATCATTAATGATCACCGTTCATCACACTTCATCATAAGATCTAAGACAGTTCATGTGGTTCAATTCTCAAGACATTTGCCTCAGTCGGCTGCCTCGCAATAAGTTGTTCATTTTATTACCTGACAGGAGAAAAAACTCCCAAAAAAACCTTTTTGGGGATAAAATTGGGAGAAATCCATAAAGAACGGCAATTGGCATCCGTCCCCAGGTTTTAACATCACATTGTAACAGAATGTTAATGTGTACAGTGTTTATATGATTTAAATGACTATGAATTGTGTTTGATTGAAATTGCATTCACTTCATCTAACATGTTAATGTAATAACTATTATCTAACATCACACAAACTATAATTCTAACACTAAACATCATTACACGTACTACAATTCTATGACTAGGGGTGCACTTCTGGCTTAAATCCCTAACAACATCGAGGTGTGAAGCTGCAGCTGTAACCTGAAACCTCACTGTCCATCTGTCCCTCACATTCCAATGCACTCAATGCAGATACATTCGGCTTTATGCCTCAATGAGTGAATATAACAAAGCTTGCATAGTTTGTCTTCATCTTAACTAGTACACTTTCATTACAACAACCCATCATTAATGATCACCGTTCATCACACTTCATCATCAGATCTAAGACAGTTCATGTGGTCCAATTCTGAAGACATTTGCCTCAATCGGCTGTCTTGCATTCAGTTGCTCATTTACTACCTGACAGGAGAAAAAACTCCCCAAAAACCCCCTTTGGGGATAAAATTGGGGAGAAATCCATAAAGGACGGCGACTGGCATCCGTCCCCAGGTTTTAACATCACATTGTGACAGAATGTTAATGTGTACAGTGTTTATATGATTTACATGACTCAAATTGTATTCACTTCATCCAACATGTAAATATAATAACTAATATCTAACATCACAAACTACAATTCTAACACTAAACATTATTTCACGTATTATAATTTCCACCACTAGGGGTGCACTTCTGGCTTAAATCCCTAACATGTTCTTAGGTTTAGTACGGAGTGTTTTCCTCGACCACGAGTGATTTTTATTTCAGTGGCGCTTGGACGTTTGTTAATACATTTTGATTTATTTTTTGGAACTTTTGAAGAAATGTGATTTACTGTGTTGATTGATGAGCTCTAGCAGTTCCATGTCCAGTTTTTATGCTACGCTAACTGTCCATCCATCATTCAGCCAGTAAATGTGTTCACAAAAGATTGCCGTGGCATCTTTCTGCAGGTGTGTGAATGTTAAATCCCCCTCCAAAGCAAGTCACCAACTACGCTTGCACCACTATTATTGTTGTGCCCGTTGTTTGCAGCGAACAACAGCAAACGGCAAAGCAGAAATTACACCTATTGTGTTTTTCTCAGCGTGTATTTTCCACAACGGAAAGTGAAGCACTCGCGTGCCCCCGAACGTCACACCTTTCCCTCTGATCACTCACTCAACGACTTACCACTTACTCTGTTCCCTTCACTCGCTCAGCCACAACATTTTGAAAGATTCAAATCGAAATGGCTGCTGCAGCAACAGCAATTATGGGATTTTTCCTGACTTGCACAATTAAATAGAAAGGTGTTGGAAGCGGCTGGCTCATCAATGCGTTCAGGACGCGGGGGAGCACAAATGGATCTCTCTGCCAAATAAAAGGATGCCTTTTTTTTCACCTGATGTTTAAGAAAGTCGAGTGTTTCACGAGACAGCATTTCTTTGTTATTAGCGCTTCATTGCTTCAAAATGCCGGGCCGGCTGCTGGCGTAAACAGAAAGATGGACAGGCAGAGCGAGTGAGTGAGAAAGGCAAGCGAGTGTTTGTGATAAACATAAATATATGTTTTACTCCATTTTAGTTTTTTTTTCTTCTGCCCCGTTGGTTGATCAGTGAAACGATGCTTTAATTAAAAAGAGAGCATATAAATAATGACCTCGTAATAGGTAAAAGGAGAAAAGGTAAATGATGACTCATGCAGACCCATTCAGCTTCTTGCACACAGCCGACAACACTGTATTTATTTATTTATGCTGCCTGCAGCAAAGAACACCATGAAGCCAAAGCCAACGATTCGCCGGTGGGAAGAAGTGGAGATGAGTTTTGAGTGATGTGATGTTTTAAATGCAAAATTCATTTTTATAATCTGTAACACTATAACAGCATTATTTTGTGGATTTGACCTGACCAGAAACTGATTAAATATACGTCACCATAAGGCCAACTAGGCGATAGTTTAGGTTCAAATCCATACGTGTTCATGCTGCACAGAGGGGTCGTTATTTAATTCTCCTGAGAAACGACCA